CAGGAGAGAGAGAGAGAGGGCTTTATGACCCAATAACTACATGTTTGACAGGGAGAGAGAGAGGAGAGGGGCTTTATGACCCAATAATTACATGTTGTTTCCTATCCAGGACAGGAGAGAGAGAGAGAGAGAGGGGCTTTATGACCCAATAACTACATGTTGTTTCCTATCCAGGACAGGAGAGAGAGAGAGAGGGGCTTTATGACCCAATAACTACATGTTGTTCCTATCCAGGACAGGAGAGAGAGAGAGAGGGGCTTTATGACCCAATAACTACATGTTGTTTCCTATCCAGGACAGGAGGAGAGAGAGAGAGAGGGGCTTTATGACCCAATAACTACATGTTTGTTTTCTATCCAGGACAGGAGAGGAGAGAGAGGGGCTTTATGACCCAATAAACTACATGTGTTCCTATCAGGACAGGAGGGAAGAGAGAGGAGGGGCTTTATGACCAATAAACTAACATGTTGTTTCCATCCAGGGACAGGAGAGGAGAGAGAGGGGGGCTTATGCCCAATAACTACAGGTTGTTCTAGCCAGGACAGGAGAGAGAGAGAGGGGCTTTATGACCCAATAACTACATGTTGTTTCCTATCCAGGACAGGAGAGAGAGAGAGGGGGCTTTATGACCCAATAACTACATGTTGTTTCCTATCCAGGACAGGAGAGAGAGAGAGGGGGCTTTATGACCCAATAACTACATGTTGTTTCCTATCCAGGACAGGAGAGAGAGAGAGGAGGGCTTTATGACCCAATAACTACATGTTGTTTCCTATCCAGGACAGGAGAGAGAGAGAGAGGGGCTTTATGACCCAATAACTACATGTTGTTTCCTATCCAGGACAGGAGAGAGAGAGGAGAGGGGCTTTATGACCCAATAACTACATGTTGTTTCCTATCCAGGACAGGAGAGAGAGAGAGGGGCTTTATGACCCAATAAACTACATGTTGTTTCCTATCCAGGACAGGAGAGAGAGAGAGGGGCTTTATGACCCAATAACTACATGTTGTTTCCTATCCAGGACAGGAGAGAGAGAGAGGGGCTTTATGACCCAATAACTACATGTTGTTTCCTATCCAGGACAGGAGAGAGAGAGGGGGGCTTTATGACCCAATAAACTACATGTTGTTTCCTATCCAGGACAGGAGAGAGAGAGGGGCCTTTATGACCCAAATAACTACATGTTGTGTTCCTGTCCAGGAACAGGAGAGAGAGAGAGGGGCTTTATGACCCAATAACTACATGTTGTTTCCTATCCAGGACAGGAGAGAGAGAGAGGGGGCTTTATGACCCAATAACTACATGTTGTTCCTATCCAGGACAGGAGAGAGAGAGAGAGGGGCTTTATGACCCAATAACTACATGTTGTTTCCTATCCAGGACAGGAGAGAGAGAGAGAGGGGCTTTATGACCCAATAACTACATGTTGTTTCCTATCCAGGACAGGAGAGAGAGAGAGAGGGGCTTTTATGACCCAATAACTACATGTTGTTTCCTATCCAGGACAGGAGAGAGAGAGAGAGGAGAGAGAGGGGCTTTGACCCAATAACTACATGTTGTTCCATATCCAGGACAGGAGAGAGAGAGAGAGGGGCTTTATGACCCAATAACTACATGTTGTTCCTATCCAGGACAGGAGAGAGAGAGAGGGGCTTTATGACCCAATAACACATGTTGTTTCCTATCCAGGACAGGAGAGAGAGAGAGAGGGGGCTTTATGACCCAATAACTACATTTGTTTCCTATCCCAGGACAGGAGAGAGAGAGAGGGGCTTTATGACCCAATAACTACATGTTGTTTTCCTATCCAGGACAGGAGAGAGAGAGAGAGGGGCTTTATGACCCAATAACTACATGTTGTTTCCTATCCAGGACAGGAGAGAGAGAGGGGTGCTTTATGACCCAATAACTAACTGTTGTTTCCTATCCAGGACAGGAGAGAGAGAGAGGGGCTTTATGACCCAATAACTACATGTTGTTTCCTATCCAGGACAGGAGAGAGAGAGGAGAGGGGCTTTATGACCCAATAACTACATGTTGTTTCCTATCCAGGACAGGAGAGAGAGAGAGAGGGGCTTTATGACCCAATAACTACATGTTGTTTCCTATCCAGGACAGGAGAGAGAGAGAGGGGCTTTATGACCCAATAACTACATGTTGTTTCCTATCCAGGACAGGAGAGAGAGAGAGGGGCTTTAGAACCCAATAACTACATGTTGTTTCCTATCCAGGACAGGAGAGAGAGAGGGGGGCTTTATTACCCAATAACTACATGTTGTTTCCTATCCAGGACAGGAGAGAGAGAGAGAGGGGCTTTATGACCCAATAACTACATGTTGTTTCCTATCCAGGACAGGAGAGAGAGAGAGAGGGGCTTTATGACCCAATAACTACATGTTGTTTCCTATCCAGGACAGAAGAGAGAGAGAGAGGGGCTTTATGACCCAATAACTACGTGTTGTTTCCTATCCAGGACAGGAGAGAGAGAGAGAGAGAGGGCTTTATGACCCAATAACTACATGTTGTTTCCTATCCAGGACAGGAGAGAGAGAGAGAGGGGCTTTATGACCCAATAACTACATGTTGTTTCGTCTTCGCTCTCATTCTCAAGAAGTTCTGAGGAAACCAGTAACAACTGGAGGGTCTCAACTAACAGACAATGAAGTGAAAACGTTGGCTTGCCACACGGTCATCTTGAGTAGACTACAGAGTCATCCGCACCGCCGTGTGCACAGACTGCATAATGCATAGCGGCAGCTACTCTGACTGATTTTGTGTGTGTCTGTCGGGCCTGTGGTTTCAGCGAGGCTCTGAGGCTGCAGTGTGTGTCTCTCCCTAAGTCACACGGGTGGTTTGGCAACACACCCTGATCCTCAGCAATGTGTCTCATCTCCCAGCATGAATCATTTCAACAGCCTGCAACCACAACGCCACGCCTGGACAGCAGCCTACGGACTCCCCTACTGCTTTTCAACAGGCACACACACCTCATATACACTATCCAGATAGCTGGAAGGAATCATGAGGCATAAGTCTGAGGTTAGGTATTCATTATGAAACAGTTAAAAGTGTTGAAGTGTCACAAGTGTTGGGCATAAGTGGAAGGCTCCAGTGCTTGAGTGGTTTAGACACTACGTTCAAATGTCTCTACTTTCAAACATTTTAAGAGGAAGGTAATGTCAGGGTAGGTAGGCACAGACACCCACGGCTCTCATAGAAGTACTCAAATGCTCTTCGATACAACGATTGTACGATTCCTCAACAAGTCGTTGCATTGAAATGAACTGGGAAGTCTTTCTACAAAAAAAAACAACAGTTTATTGAATTATTAACAACTGTACATTATGTTCAGTGCTGACACAGTTTTGCTACATACTTTGGCGTGAATTGGAGACACATTTCACACCTCGTTATGACTGAAGGAAAGGCAGGTATTGGGACGCAGTGGAGAATTTGAGTGTTCACCCCAACAGCCTTGTACTGAACGGTAAAGGTAGAAATTCCCCTTAGACACAGATCAGCTTACCCTCAGCAATTCCTAAATGTAACCATTTGGGGACAAAACAGATCAGTGTCTAGGGGAAACTTCATCCTACTCGGTACTGAACATTATGTAGATGCTGGTCACAATGCTAACTTCTGTTTTACATTTTGAAAGACCCCAATAGCCAACCCTGAATACACCCTAGCACTTAACAGGCACTGTATATCGTTTGAGTGGAATCCAATAGTTTGGTTGACTTCCATTCAAGTCCGGTTAGTCCAAGAAGATGTTGTACTGATAATGAGGATTGGAGGATCAAATCAATGGGACTCCATAGAAGCATGTTCTCCTTAATAACCCACCATCTAGATGACCCTGTGGGTTGTTCTACATCGGCAAGATTCAGGTACAGACTCAACGTTCAGATCATGTCAGGCTAGCCAAAGCACGGTTTGTCACCCCGTATTAGTAATAATCCAGTAGAATTGAAGTCCATCGTTAGAATAAACATCAACCAGACCCCCCGATTTCCCTCCCCCCCTTCCCACCAATAATCCAAGACGTAAAAGAGAAGAGTCAAAAGGGCACAGAGAAAGTAGTACAGTTAGTTTCTTTAATATCGTTTTAATTTACATTGTTCTCCTCCTCTCGCTGATCCCCCAGTCTCCTCTGATAGGCCGTGTCCAAGCGGGGGTCCTGTGGTATTCCACGGCTGTCCGTGGCTCTGCCTGAGCCGGCAGGCTCCACTTTCCAGACATTTTCGTAGCTCAAAAAAAAAAGGGCACCATCACAAAACTGACATTTTAATCTCCACAAAACATTCTGGTTGACCATTTAGTTTTTCAGCCTCTTTGTTACTAGAGACCTTTCCATTTGATTTCCAAAAAGGTCAGCCTGGATTGAAGAATGCGCTTCAACCCCCCCCCAAAACAAAAATAAATCCTTAAAAAAGAAAGTTTTCTACTTTCTGTTCTCCCTTGAATATCAAGCAGAAGGGAGAGGCCAAAAGCAAAAACGTCACAAGTACACCAGGACATGAAAATAGATATATATATTTATAATATATATAAAATGTCTTTATTACTCCATTATGTACAATTTTCACAAGACGTCCAGGGAGCAACTGTTGGAAAGACGAAGCGCTGCTTCATCCAGTTACATTACAGAAACATTAATCGCGTTAAAAAAGAAACCCTCCAAAAAAAAAACAAGCCCAGGAACAGATTTGGAAGAAAAAAAACAGCAAGACAATTTACATCTTCAGTGCCCAATAGGGTTACAGTCTGCACCAAAGTGTTGGTTAGATATGCAAGCCGATAGCCAATAATAGCCTGGTCAACTGCCAATCGCAGTTCATAGTGCCTTCTGAGCACCAAACCGGGAGTGGTATCGGCCGACATTGTCTGTAGTCCAATCCCTGGTGGTCTTTGAGGTTAGGGGGTGTGATGAGTGAAGTAAGAGGGGGAGGGGCTAGCAGCTCCCCTTGTCAGGCCAGTAGTTCAAACTGTGGTGTTTCTAGTAGATCACCTCGTACACGGTGGCCTTCTTGTCTCCGGAGCCTGTCACAATGTACTTGTCGTCTGCAGAGATGTCGCAGCTCAGGACGGAAGAGGACTCCTTTGACTGTTGTGGTAAAAGGGGAAAGAAAAACGTGTTAGCGATCCCATTCAGATCTAGTCATTTGTTTGCCTGAACTAACCCTGTAGCAAAAGTGACCATCTGGCTTGGTTGGTCTGAAAGAGAATTCTCTGAACAATTTTGGTTGCTTATGATTTACAGATTAGATTTGACAGTGGTAGCTCGGGTTTCCACTCTGTTGGCCATTGTACAGGATAGTGAGCATCTATGCATGTGTGAGAGTGTGTATATGTGTGTGTGTGTGTGTTTGTTATTGATTGGCATACCTGGAATATGCTGGCGCCGTATGGAGTCCTCCAGGCATTCAGGAGGTTGTCCTTCCCCGTGCTCACAAACCATTTACCTTTAAAAAACACAAGGCATGAGAGAAATATGAGCACACAGAGACCAGGTTGTCCTCACCAAGCAGGACAGGGCTGCACAAGACTCTCCAAAGCACGGAATTGGAAGTCCACATCGTTTCAGATTTAGCAGCTAACCCAATACAACTGATGTGGGGCAGTTGACATTACCTGTTGGTACAGTAGCAGTACCAACTCAATTGAACCTGGTTCAATTCCTTGAGAAAAAAGGTTTCTACACTTGAACTACATAAATACAGGTTATCAATTACTTATTGTAAAAAAAAAATAATACAAAAAACTCCCTGGACATGTTTCTTACCACAGTAGGCGAACTTGAGAGAGAGCACGCAGCTCTCGTGCAGGTGGAGCTGGTACTTGTCAGGCTTGGTGTGGTGAAGGACCTCCACGTTGCTGCTCTCCATGCCCACCGCCAGCCACTCCCCTGTGGGGCAGTAGCCCAGAGAGAAGATCTGGGAGGAGACGGGAGGTGGGGGTGAATGAGGGCAAAATAGAATGTGTGTGTTGGTATGAGTGTGTGGTATCAGTGAGTGTGTGTGTGTGTGTTGGAACATATATAATATATATATCTGCGTACCTGGGAGGTGAAGTCATGCTGCTGGAGCTGCCGTCCCTCCCTCAGGTCCCATGAGCGAACGGTATTGTCCAGACCGCCGGTCCACAGCTTGGTCCCATCATGTGAGATGTCAATACAGCTGGCTCCGTCCGTGTGGCCCTGGAACTGCCTACAACACCCAACAAACACAGTGGAATTAGCCAAGTGATTCCACTGACGCTCTGGACATTTCAATGTAATCCCACTTCAATTATTACTGCTGCCCCTTTAAGATCATATAGGTAGTAGCACGTCCCTCCCAGCCTCCAACCAGTCATCTACTCTGTGGATGGATCGATCACTCACCTGACCAGGGTCTGGTTGTGCAGGTCCCAGACGGCGATGTTCCCGTCACTGCAGCAGGAGAAGCAGACCTTGGCGTCGGGGGAGATGGCCAGTGCGTAGCAGGCGGGGGCCGAGGAGGTGAGCTCCGCCTTGATACGTGGCGTCGGAGAGGCCAGGTCCCAGATGGTCAGCGTGCTGGCCTCACCACCCACAATCAGGGTGCGGCCGTCAGGGAGGAGCTTACAGGAGCGGATGTAGTTGTCCCTGTTCTGGAGACAGAGAGAGAGGGAGCGGGTTAAGATTTGGGCTTCAGCCAGTTATCGTGATAATAGCAGGTATCGTGATAATAGCAGGAATCGTGATAATAGCAGGTATCGTGATAAATTAGTGTGTATTGTTAGATATTACTATACTGTTGGCGCTAGGAACACAAGCATTTCACTACAACCGGAATAACACCTGCTAAATATGTGTATGTGACCAATAAGATTTGATTTGATTTAAAAGCAGGTATGGCGACTAACCCCATTCGATACATTGAACGGATGTGGGTGGAGCAGTACCTACATAGGGGTGCAGGTTGTGAACACTCACAAAAGCTCTGACGAAGGCCTTGAGGCCGATACGTAAAGCTTAATAAAGAGCAGTGACACTAGCTAGCAAGAGCAGTGACACTAGCTAGCAAGAGCAGTGACACTAGCTAGCAAGAGCAGTGACACTAGCTAGCAAGAGCAGTGACACTAGCTAGCAAGAGCAGTGACACTAGCTAGCAAGAGCAGTGACACTAGCTAGCAAGAGCAGTGACACTAGCTAGCAAGAGCAGTGACACTAGCTAGCAAGAGCAGTGTGAGGGTTTCTCATCTTATTCAACTGTTACCATGCACCTGCAACAAAGATAGCTCAGATGTGTGAGTGCCTTTTGAATTTTGAAGCAGGAATGGCGGTAAAAGCAGGTATGGCGGTAAAAGCAGGTATGGCGGTAAAAGCATCACAGAGTGAGTGTTTGAGTGTGGCTTCCCTCGGCTGTGGAGCGAGACTCATTTTCAGCTTTAACAAGGGCAGAAGAGTGCTAGCTGGACTGGGTGCATGAGGCGGGTGATGTGAATGAGAGATCAATAGAGGGCCGGGGCTCTCAGACGAATTAAACAGCTTGCTGATGGCTATATAAGACCTTGTCACAAAGCCAGCACTCTCCCTCTCCCTCTTCTCTCTGCTCCTACCCCCTCTCCAAAGTGGCGAGGAGAGGGTTGACAGTATCAAATTGATGAATGGGGAGGCTGGGAGAATGACTAATTGGGTGGGTAATGGCGAACCGGGGCAGGACAATCAGAAGATCATTACTTTTGGTATTTTTCCAAAACGTCACACACCAGGCCAACGAACAAGACGCTGTGCCTTGAATTATTACATTCACAAGAGCAGATGGAGGGAGAGAGTGGACGTGGGGTGAAGGGGGCTGGTTCAGAGAGTGGACGTGGGGTGAAGGGGGCTGGTTCAGAGAGTGGACGTGGGGTGAAGGGGGCTGGTTCAGAGAGTGGACGTGGGTGAAGGGGGCTGGTTCAGAGAGTGGACGTGGGGTGAAGGGGGCTGGTTCAGAGAGTGGACGTGGGGTGAAGGGGGCTGGTTCAGAGAGTGGATGTGGGGTGAAGGGGGCTGGTTCAGAGAGTGGACGTGGGTGAAGGGGGCTGGTTCAGAGAGTGGACGTGGGGTGAAGGGGGCTGGTTCAGAATTGGATGTGGGGTGAAGGGGGCTGGTTCAAGAGAGTTGACGTGGGGTGAAGGGGTGCTGGTTCAGAGGTGGACGTGGGGTGAAGGGGGGCTGGTTCAGAGAGTGGACGTGGGGTGAAGGGGGCTGGTTCAGAATGGGAACGTGGGGTGGGTTAAGGGGGCTGGTTCAGAGAGTGGACGGGGGGTGAAGGGGGCTGGTTTCGGAGGAGTGGACGTGGTGAAGGGGGCTGGGTTCAGAGAGGTGGACGTGGGGTGAAGAGGCTGGTTCAGAGAGTGGATGTGGGGTGAAGGGGCTATCCCCTTTTAGCTACTTTGTCCAGCTTGGCTATCCTGTTAGCTAGCTTGTCCAGCTTGGCTATCCTGTTAGCTAGCGTACAGCTTGGCTATCCTGTTAGCTAGCGTACAGCCCAGCCAACCTAAATTATTGCCTTTGTCCCACGTTGCCTGTTGTTATGCCTTATGCAAATATAATAATGATATGTTCATTCAGCAGATGGCTTTTATCCAAAGTGATGGTCTTACAGTTTAAACACATATCTATGTTTCCTAAAACAAAATGGCTCCTTACCAGGCAGTCCAGTTGGGACACAGGGCTCTTGCTGCCTGGCTGGCTGATGTCCCAGATCTTGACGCAGCCCTTGCCACCAGTGTAGACGTGGCGCGTGGGGTTGCTGATGGTGACAGCGCACACCACCTCGCCGTGGCTCAGCGTGTTGATCTGGCGGGCGTGTCGTGGGATGCCCGGGCCTATCAGCGCATCCGGGGGAAAGGGCACCGGCTGCATCTGGCCGTCGGCGCTCACATGAAAGGAGTAGGCACTGTCGAAGGGGAGAAAAGGCAGTTGTTGTTTTGAGCCAAAATGAAACCTGGAACCAAAATGGTGGACTTGACCTGTGACTTTAGTGCAATTAAAGTATAGCTAATGCAGTGTGTTGGGAAACCAACCCTTTGCACATGACAAACATGCTTGGTGAAAACTCAATCATATTGGTTTTATAAAATTAAAATAACACCGTCAGCAGGTTAGCATTGGAATGATACATGCCAAATAATTATATTGCACATTTGTGGAAATGCTAAATCTCATCATAACTTCTCAATTAAAAACATGCCTGGTCCTGCTAATTAGTCTAATCCAAAAGAGACATCATACCCATCCAGTCGCTCGTGATAAATAGTTTTAACAGTTTAAACAAACTGGGTTTGGAGACTTACGGTTTTCCTCCAGAGATGGATGTGAGGCTGGCTGGCAGGCCTGGTCTCATGTGGGAGTGAGGGTCAAACCCCGCCTGGGAAACCACCACGGACAGACAGTTAGCATGTTAACACATTAGCCTAAAAAACTGTGCAAAGCTAATCCATGTTGCCAACTAAGCTAGGCTAATTGTTAAAACAGGAAACTTAGCATCGCTGCTTCTATAGCATCCAATATGGCAGAGAAGGTCCGGTCACACAAATGTCCTAGGTGGCAAAGGTCCAGATGGACATTATCATTTATCGTCATAGTGACAAACTCCCACCTCACAACCCATGCGACCCAAAACGGTTCACACCCCTCTTGTTGGCGGAGAGATAATTTTGCAGTTTTAAAGCACATTTCCCACAATTCTACACATTTTGCATGGGGCAGACTTTTGTTGCTGTTTTAAAGCAAATTTCCTGCAATTCTACCCATTTCACCAGGTCTTGTGGGTTTATAAACTGGGTGGTTCGAGCCCTGAATGATGATTGGCTGACAGCCGTGGTATATCAGACCGTATACCACAGGTATGACAAAACATGCATTTTTACTGCTCTAACTACATTGGTAACCAGTTTATAATAGCAATAAGGCACCTCGGGGTTTGTGGTATATGGCCAATATACCATGGCTAAGGGCAGTATCCAGGCCCTTAGCCGTGGTATATTGGCCATATACCACACTACTGAACTAGGTCGAAGCCCGACCTAGTTCAGTAGTAGTAGTGGAGACCCGCGGTCCGTATTGACCCCGTTCTGGGTCCGGATCGCGGTCCGCCAGTTGAGTATGGGGGTCATAAGGGGTATTTTTACCATCATTTCATCCAGCGATGTGGATTCTACATTCCTTGAAAGGCAGAGCCTTTGCCCGGGTTCGTGGTAACGCTGTAGCTTTACACAACATCCCACTTGCTAATGCTAATGAAAGCCTGGGAGATTTCCACACACCGAGAGACAGTGTTTTGCCAGAGTTATTTTCCCCCTCCCTTGCAGCACCAGACATCAAAGCAGGGGAGGTTAGCTTACTCCAATGTTTCTATTGCCTAACACTTTACACAGAGAGCTGAGAGAAAAAAAAATACAACAATTCTAAAGAAATATTGAAAGAGTGAATTATTGAAATAGGAAATGAATTGTAAATTGGCTGCTAGTCATATTACAAGAGGTCTTTTAGCCGACAGCAGTGTTGGCAGCGCTGCGGAGACGTGTAATATATAGTGAGAAGTGAGTCTGATGTATAGTTGTATGTATGTTTGCATGTCTGTGTTTGAGTGAACACACCTTTTCTTTCCTATTCCTGTATTGTATTACTCATGTTTTGTATTAGTAACTGTAGCCTGTGTGTAGGGAAGAGTGTGTGACCGTGTGGAGGGGCTACATGTTAGTATGTGACTACATGAGGTGGGAGTTTTGGGAGAGCGTACCATGGGCGAGCGTCCGTACGCAGCAGCAGCCGCCACGCTCATCTGGGGGGAGATGTGGAGGCCGGCGTAGACCCCGGGGCTGGTCAGGGAGCCGTTCATATCGTGGTGGCCCATCATGGCGAAGGGCGTGGCGTAGGAGCCAGCTATGGACAAAGGGGTACGCAGGGCTGGAGCTGCTAGAGAGAGGGTAGGAGAGAGATGTAAGGCCAACTGATTCTGCCATAGGCTAATGGGCAGCCCTACAGAGAAGTGCGTGTGTGTGTGTGTTTTTTTTGTGGTTATTTTCGTGTTAATCTATTTGTGGTTAGCGGACGAGTGTGTTTGGTGTGTACGTGTGGGTATGTATGCATGGGTACATGAGTGTGTATGTGTGTGAGGACTTACCCAGTGCCTCCATGCCCGGGGGCTTGCCCATGATGGGTCGTAGACCAGGGGTGGTGCTGGTACCTGGTGTAGGGGCATCGTTACGAGGTGTGGGGGTGTTTGACTTCAGGCCCGGCGTGGAAGACTTATCATTCTGACAGATAGAGAGAAATATACTTCATTTGATTCATTTATCTTTATTCCATTTTAATTAAAAAATATATGATAATCACAAAAGCAATAGAACCCCAAACCACCAAACTATATTTCCTTACAACCAGGTCACAAGAGACAGGAAAAGAAGAACAATGAATAAAGACCAAGAACATGAGAGAGACAGGGAGCAATAGAAAGTCAAAATCCTAAAATAGCTGAACCACTTTCCCCAAAAATCCAGTGACAATTTGAGTGGTGAGCTCAACATAATCCAACCTACTAGTGCCAGTTCATTAGAGCCCTGTGGGGCCACATAAACCTCTATTAGACTGGCCTGTCAGAGCCCTAACAGCCAAGATGGTGGCCCTTCTTTATCCCTCATTTCCTTTTAATCTGCACCCCTCCGCCACACCCCCGGCCCTACACATGAGCCCTGACTAGTTAAGCACATTGCCATATCAGCAGAGGGCACAAGAGGAGAATAGGGCTGGGGAGAGGATGGAGGGAAAGGACTGCGAGAGTGGCTAGGGAACCACGAGGGAGAACGAGAGAGTAGACCAAAAGATAAGGACGAGAGGGCCTGGTAAAGAGAGAGAGAGAGGAGAGAGAGAGCGAGAGGAGAGAGAGACGAGAAGAGACGAGGGAGAAGAGAGAGAGATGAGGGAAGAGAGACAGAGTGCGAGCATCTCCCTGTCATTGCCCCGGTTTATTTACGGTCCGGGCGCTGGGAAAGCAATTGACATTAATTCTGCCTGCCATAAAGGAGACTGATAGGAGCAGAGCACTGTGTGTCTCCTGTGTGCATCCTCCCAACCCCCCAAACACTCCTTCAGCAGTTTAATAGCTACACACACCCCTTGTCTGTTGGTTTCCTCTACCCCCTGCTTTACCCCTCTCTCTTACTCTCCCCTTTCACACACACTCACGTGGGCGTGGTCCTTGGCTTTGGAGGACGGTGTGCTGCCGGAGGAGGCCACGGAGGCAGGGCTGTTGGGGGCGTCCTTCTTCAGGGCCCGTGATTTGTCCAGACCGTTTTCTGGAGGAGAATGGGCGGGGCTGGCCCTGGGAGTGGCTGGGTCCTAGAGAGAGAGATGATAATAGAGAGAGAGAGATGATAATAGAGAGAGAGAGATGATAGAGAGAGAGAGAGATGATAATAGAGAGAGAGAGAGAGAGAGAGAGAGAGAGAGAGAGATGATGATGATGATGATGATGAGGAAGGTAGAGAGGAAGGAAAAAGGAAGGGGATGTAATAGGGATGGGAAGAGAGAGAGAGAGAGAGAATGAGAATGTACATGAAGGTCAAACAAACCCGGGCCACATGTGCAAACACAGATCCACATTATATGTTTCTCCTCTGTCACCCTAGGGTTCCATCACCTCTAGGTTTCTTTGTAAAGCATTTATTTGTATAAGCATGTCTCCGTACAAATAAAAGTTGTATTTGGTACACATACGTGGATGTTACACAAAACCACACTGTTCCGTTTCCTTCTTTATTTTAGGGGAGGTTTCCCTGGTGACCTTAGCGAGGGTGTGACAGCTGTTAAGGTCTCTGTCAGCTTTGGTTCCTCAACAAAGACACCAGTGTTCAGTCACCAGCTACTAAAGAGACAGGGTGGAATGTGGCTCTGCAACTCAACCACACTAACATACCAACACACACACACACACACACACACAGGTATGTGTCCACTCAAACACACACATGAAAGCGACCAGCTGCTCTTACCTCATTGGACACATCCACGACCAGGTCGTCACTTTTGTCTCCATCGCTATCCTGTTGAGAGACAGTGTTAGACAGTGACCACACTTATAATTGGTGTGTGTTTGTGTACAAACTTCTCCTGTTTAAATGTGCTAAGTGTATTATTTGTGTGTGTGTGTGTGTGTGTGTGTGTGTGTGTTCTTTCCCACTCACGTATCTGCTCATACTGTCCTTCTCCTCCACCTTGCGTTTCTTGGAGTCCATGCTATAATCGGAGGAGCTGCGGTGTTTGTCGCTGGCCGCACGCAGGCTGTCTGACGGAGACACCGAGTTATTCTGCAACAACGCAGACAGACAGATGAGGAACCACGTCAGTCACAGGAGTCTTCCCACGTAACAAAGAGTCTAGGAGAAAACTGCTCTGCTAGTTTAGGTCTTGAAGTGGGGCTTTGTGCTGTAGAGAGCTGCCAGGCGACCGACGGGGCTTTACCAAAGAAGTCAGTCCGTCACACACACACACACATTGACAGAGCTAAACCTCCCCAACAAGCTCCATGATGCATTAGTGAGAGACAGGGAGTGAGCATGACTGAGTGAGCCCAGGAGATAAACTGCACAGACGCATCTTCACCCAGGCCTTCCAGTGACTGGAGCAGCGACTCAACTGTCATCTTCACCCAGGCCTTCCAGTGACTGGAGCAGCGACTCAACTGTCATCTTCACCCAGGCCTTCCAGTGACTGGGGCAGCGACTCAACTGTCATCTTCACCCAGGCCTTCCAGTGACTGGAGCAGCGACTCAACTGTCATCTTCACCCAGGCCTTCCAGTGACTGGAGCAGCGACTCAACTGTCATCTTCACCCAGGCCTTCCAGTGACTGGAGCAGCGACTCAACTGTCATCTTCACCCAGGCCTTCCAGTGACTGGGGCAGCAGACACACAACGCAAACAATGCATAGCTTGTTTTCCTGTCCTCCTCCTGCTAGCCCTCCAAAACACACACCTGAACACACACACCATCAGAAAGGCTCTTTCTCCAGAGCTGCTGGGGCTGAACGGATGACCGCTGGAGAGTCGGCTGGTGTGGGCACCTTGCCAGGACCACTCAGTGGTTATACAGTACATAAAACAAGTAACGAGGGAGGGAGGGAGGGACAGGAAACGGACTAAACGACTGAATGATAGGAGAGCCTTAATGAGAGAGAGAAGAAGAAGCGTGGACAAAGAGCAAACGGAAACAGAGAAAAAAAGTAGGGCAGGAAAGTTGCCGAAAAAGAGGGAGTGAAAGAATTAAAGAAAGAGAAACAGAAAAGGGAGCTGGCATCCAATGAGAGGCCAGTAGTGTGGCACCGAGTTGAGTTCCCCACTTGTGGGCATGTTAGGCTGGCACTGCCAGGGTGGCGCTGGGTACACTTGGCCCTCCGTGCCAAGCCCACACTCTCATCCAGTCTTTCATTACCGAGAGAAAGAGAGAGAGAGAGAGAGAGAGACAGAGAGAGAGAGACAGAGAGAGAGAGACAGAGAGAGACCGAGAGAGAGAGAGGACAAGAGCTGCCCATTTGAACCCCTCACCCATGTCCACTGGGAAAGAAGAAACGAATGACAGCGAAAGAGTAAACAAGAAATAAATGGAGTGAAAAAAAAGAAGAAAAAAAGAGATGGGGCCTCAGAGCGTGTGGTTGACAGAGAGAGAGAGAGAGGAGGAGGATGTGTTTGGGCAGTGTTGGGGAGCCCCCATCGGAAGGGCTTTCTAGGCAACGTGCCCTCGTCTTGGCTGCCGCACAAAGGAATCTGACTCTTCGTGACTCTTTAAGCCAAACCCTCCATCCTGCCATTCCGCCATTCCTCCTCCCCCCCATCCCGGCTCTAAATATGTACATGAATGTTGCCATTGTGGCTCCAGAATGCGCAGCTTCTCTTTTGGGAAAGGATAAAAAGCAAAGTGCCAAATAGAGGTGGATTGTCCTGTGGGGCTGAAAGAGGAGGGGTGGTGGTGGGTAACTAGTTAGCTACCTTCCAGGCCCTACTGTCTCTCTCTCTCTGTGTGTGTGTTTTTGGTTTTACTATCCTTGTGGGGACCAGAAGTCCTTAAGCCTTCAGTTCGGCTGGCGGATAGCCGAAGTTGGCTGGCAAAACCGAATGAGTGGGCTCGCATACACCCTTAAAATACATTTGCTTAAAAAAATAAAGAGAAAAAAAGCGGCAATAGTACCGTTTGTCCATTTTGAGACGCCGTAGCCAGTATACAGTCGTGGTCAAAAGTTTTGAGAATGACACAAGTATTGGTCTTCACAAAGTCTGCTGCTTCAGTGTTTTTAGATATTTTTGTCAGATGTTACTATGGTATACTGAAGTATAATTACAAGCATTCCATAAGTGTCAAAGGCTTTTATTGACAATTACATTAAGTTTATGCAAAGAGTCAATATTTGCAGTGTTGACCCTTCTTTTTCAAGACCTCTGCAATCCGCCCTGGCATGCTGTCAATTAACTTCTGGGCCACATCCTGACTGATGGCAGCCCATTCTTGCATAATCAATGCTTGGAGTTTGTCAGAATTTGTGGATTTTTGTTTGTCCACCCGCCTCTTGAGGATTGACCACAAGTTCTCAATGGGATTAAGGTCTGGGGAGTTTCCTGGCCATGGACCCAAAATGTCGATGTTTTGTTCCCCGAGCCACTTAGTTATCACTTTTGCCTTATGGCAAGGTGCTCCATCATGCTGGAAAAGGCATTGTTCGTCACCAAACTGTTCTTGGATGGTTGGGAGAAGTTGCTCTCGGAGGATGTGTTGGTACCATTCTTTATCCATGGCTGTGTTCTTAGGCAAAATTGTGAGTGAGCCCACTCCCTTGGCTGAGAAGCAACCCCACACATGAATGGTCTCAGAATGCTTTACTGTTGGCATGACACAGGACTGATGGTAGCGCTCACCTGGTCTTCTCCAGGCAAGCTTTTTTCCGGATGCCCCAAACAATCGGAAAGGGGATTCAGAGAAAATGACTTTACCCCAGTCCTCAGCAGTCCAATCCCTGTACCTTTTGCAGAATATCAGTCTGTCCCTGATGCTTTTCCTGAAGAGAAGTGGCTTCCTCGCTGCCCTTCTTGACACCAGGCCATCCTCCAAAACTCTTTGCCTCACTGTGCGTGCAGATGCACTCAGACCTGCCTGCTGCCATTCCTGAGCAAGCTCTGCACTGGTGGTGCCCCGAGCCCGCAGCTGAATCAACTTTAGGAGACGGTCCTGGCACTTGCTGGACTTTCTTGGGCGCCCTGAAGCCTTCTTCACAACAATTGAACATCTCTGAAGTTCTTGATGATCCGATAAATGGTTGATTTAGGTGCAATCTTACTAGCAGCAATATCCTTGCCTATGAAGCCCTTTTTATGCCGAACAATGATTTCAAGCACCACCCTCCTTTTAAAGCTTCCAGTCGGTTATTCTAACTCAATCAGCATGACAGAGTGATCTCCAGTCTTGTCATCGTCAACACTCTCTCCTGTGTTAAGGAGAGAATCACTGACATGATGTCAGCTGGTCCTTTTGTGGCAGGGCTGAAATGCAGTGGAAATGTTTTTTGGGGATTAAGTTCATTTTCATGGCAAAGAGGGACTGCAATTAATTGCAATTCATCTGATCCCTCTTCATAACATTCTGAAGTATATGCAAATTGCCATCATAAAAACTGAGGCAGCAGACTTTGTGAAAATTAATATTTGTGTCATTTTCAAAACTTTTGACCACGACTGTACAGTTCCTCAAAATAGTCAGAATTAATCTAAGATAACTCAAGAAATCTGTAATGAAATTGACGTTTTTGCCAAGGAGATCTTAGTCTCGCAATTTTACATTAACTAAATGTTTGGTGCATTATTTCTCAATGAAAAAAGGTGCATGCAAACTAGTTATCTCTCGTTGAATGACAACAAATACTTTTGTTGAAGAATCCCTTCAGTTGACCAATCACTGGCGAATGGGCGTAGACTTCGGGCTCCCGACTTTCGGCTGGCCTCGAGAAAGAAATGTGTGCATGAAAAGCCAAAAAAAAACCTTACCGAAGTCCTAAAACATCGCAAAATGTTGTCATAGTATATGCACAAACTCTTCCGAACTGTTTGGGCTGGGAAGCATGCGGACGCCTTTACAAGGATAGTAAAAACAAGGAGAATTCAGACAAGTGGGGACATTACGCCTTAGAGGTTTTTAGGCTTAGGGGTTAGGTTTAGGGCTAGAATTAGGGCTAGGGTAAATAGAATTTTGAATTGGAATACATTGTTTGGTCCCCACAAGGATAGTAAAACAAATGTGTGTGTCTGTTTCTCTGTCTGTAATACACAGTGGCCTTTTAAGGCATGATTAACAGACTGGATAACCTCAGACACCCCCTATCAGATGACCTGAGACAACAGGACAGGAAGGGAGGAAGCGACAGAAGGAGGGAGGGAGAGGGGGATGAGGGAGGGGAGTCGAGTTAGCATTAGCGGCGCTAATCGCAGGGGCCCGGTTTGGTTCCCTTCAGACATGACTGCACCCATTCACGCTGCCCAGTCATTGGGAACCCAATCCCTGCACTGCCGCAGCCGCCACCGCGTCGCTATCCCTGGATATCAGAGAGATTTAATCCAGTCTAATACACAGAGGCTTTAACAAGAGAAGAAGCCCGGGAGCAGGAGGGAGAGGAAACAATTCACTATCTGTGTTCATAAATATTTACTGGAAGTAGGCAGAGAGAGAAAGAGAGCAAGGGGGAACGATTGAGTATGAAACAGACAGAGAGAGAGAGAGAGACAGAGAGCGAGAGAGAGAGAGAGACCAACAGAGAGAGACAGAGAGACATTACAACACAGACAAAATGAAAAGGAGTGCATTAGAAAACAAAGAGGCAGAATAGGACGGGAGAGAAAGATGGGAGGACTAAAAGGCAGAGAGGGGTGGGGAGGGAGGAGGGGTGGGGAGGGAGGATAGATGGGCTACAGTAAATCCTCTTAGACGGAGAGAAGAGAGTCAAAGTCTCTTTTAATTGTGATGAAATTATAGAGCGGGCTAATCCTGGCCTGGTGATTGGAGTCATTTTCCACCTGGATTAGACAGCATAGCGGCGGAAGCAGCAGAGGCTTTATGTGGCAGACTCAGCTCCCCCATTCATTATTTGATTTCAGAACGGCTTATACGAGACAAAACGTGTGTGTTCTACTGCAGGGATCATGAATTTTGAATTTTTAACGAGGCGTGGTGTTTAAAGTCAATCAAAGTGCCTTAATCACCAAACAGACTGGCTCAAAGTCAATGTCAAGGGAGGGGAGAGAGGGTGAGGTGGGGGAGAGATGGGGGGACCTCAGAAGAATAAAGGAGAACTTACCGTGCTCGACTCTCGTTCTTTTACCAGAGGGATCGCCAGGGGGGAGTGAAAGGATGACAGGCCAAGAGGGAGAAAGTGAAAAGAACGTTAGTACGCATGGCAATATGTATTGTGACTTAATTGGTCTGCATTCACGACACAACAGCATTTAAAAAACGTTGGTTTCACATTCAGACAAGTCATTTTAATGAGTATCCTAACTGACTGTTTGCAGCCACTGTGGTCTGAGAGTACATGGACATCAGGCCACCCAATTCACACTCAAATAGAATCAGCACAGAACCAAAATGGCTGTAATGTAGAGCCACAATGCCCACTGAGTAGAGACAAAATGGCCGCAATATCAAACCACAACGCCCATTGTATGGATCCAAAATGGCCGCAATACAAAAAGACACTGCCCATTGAGCAGAACCACACCACCTCAGTATCCACACCCTCAAGCTCCTCACCTCTGTGCTCTAGGTCATGGTTGTTCTTCTCATCCTTGACGGAGGGCAGGTGGGCCTGGCTGCCCAGGGCGCCCAGCGCCAGCAGACCAGAGCCAGCCACGCCCGGGATGGGGGGTATGCCAGGGGGCTGCAGGCCCGAGGGGTGCGGGGGCATCTGGATGGGTGGCCCACCGTGGGCAGCGTGGGACAGGTGCTGAGCCTGGAGCTGCTGCTGCTGTTGGGGAACAAGACATACGACAAGTGGGTCGGCTGGGAAGAGACCGTGGGACTGGCTACACAACACATGAGAGAGGGGGTTTAGTTCAGTGGGTCGGCTGGGAAGAGACCGGGGGACTGGCTTTACAACACGAGGCGGCTTAGTTCAGGTGGGCGCAACATTACAGAAAAGCTCAGATAAAAATGTGGCATTGATGTGTCGAATTAAAAGTATTTTTTCTTGTCATGTAAAATAGGGAATCCTCAATATCAGCTCTAGACAGTACATATTTCTATCGGCAACGGTCTAAAATGTTGCACCCCATTGAATAACAAGCCCTAGTACAGTGGTTCTCAAATCTCTCCTCAGGGACCCCTCAGACGTTTCACAATTGTGTTTTAGCACTGAACTAGTTCACCCGATTTACCTAGTCAAGGGTTTGATGATTAGTTGACAACTTGAATCAGGTGTGCTAGTTCTGGAATAGATAAAATACATTAACCGGCTGGGGGTCCCCGGGTAGAGGTTTGGACCGGCTGGGGGTTCCCGAGGAGAGGTACATAAAGTTGTTAGTCTCCCTCCCCTCCCCAATCACAGTCCTAAACCATGGAAAGGAGGAAGGATTGGGGAGTTGAATTGAAGTCCACACATCTGTTAGAGGCCAGTAGGTAAGAACCATTCTTAGCAATAAGGCCATCTTCCTCACAAATGTCTGAGGATGGCTATTATATGAGGCCCTGGATATGAGGTTGGACACACACACACACACCCACCGTATCCCCACACACACACACACACCGTATCCACACACACACAAACACACACACCGTATCCCACACACACACACACACCGTATCCTTCACACACGTCACGTTAAATAAAGTCCACCTCATTTCATAAACAGAACACACTTGATACATACTGGATGAACTGCGCCCAAATACCAGCTGCCTGCAGCAATTAGTGAGAAGCAGTCGGCACCACAACAACACAACAACCGCTAGTTAACCGTCCTTCAAGGCTTCAACGCAGGCTTCCTACTCAAAGATCTCAGTTCTATGTCGACTGTTTTAGCAGACACTCCAGACAAGAACATGGCTGGGGCTGTATTCTCCGAGGGTTGCATATAGGGTTAACTTCACCCACAGCATGATCGCCCCCATCCTGGCCCTCTAGCAAATACTGTTAACAGGCAGAGAGGGAGGGGGACACACACTTAGCCCTCCCAAGAGCCTGTCAACGTCAGAGAACCAGAGAGAGAGCGAGAACGAGCAAGAGGGAGAGCGAGAGCGAGAGAAAGAGCGAGCAAGAGGGAGAGAGAGCAAGAGGGAGAGCGAAAAAGAGAGAGAGACACAGAGAGAGAGAGAGAGAGAGAGAGAGAGAGAGAGAAGAGAGACACAGAGAGAGACACAGAGAGAGAGAGAGAGAGAGAGAGAGAGAGAGAGAGAGAGAGAGAGAGAGAGAGAGAGAGAGAGAGAGAGAGAGAGACAGACAGACAGACGAGAGCGACTCAGGGATCCAGACTAACAGACGGGAGTTAAATAGCCACTCAGCTGAAAAGGGGAAGTGAGTGCTTTAAAACTAGGTTAAATAACACTTAGCACATCCATCAAGTGTCAGTCCCAAACCAATCTATTGACCTTCCTGATAGCTCGCTAGCTGGGAGTCTTATAGCCCTGACCCATACGACTCATTAGAAGGAGAGGAGGAGGAGGAGCTTGTAAGCCTTTTAACAGTAAAGGTTGATCAAGTCTGGTCTCTTAACAATAGGCCTGTTTTCCAGCAGGCTCATTAACTGGAGCTGGGGAGTAGGGGTATAGAATGGATGGAACCCACTTAGACAGGCAGGATTGTTAATCAATATTGTGCTGGTGGTGTGTGAAGCAGAGGCCTATTTGTGTTAGGGAGGGATGGAAGGGGGGGGGGGGGGGGGGGGAATAGAGAAGAGACGTCCCTGTTGAGGGTACTAATGAGGGAAGCATGCAGAGAAGCATCATCAAGAAGCCTCATTAAGGGGCCACCGTGGCGGAGGAGGAGAGGAGTGAAGGATGAGGGAAATAAATGGCCTCCGATTCAATATTCCTGGATAAAGAGGTGACAGACTTCCTTTCAGACTGATCTGTTTTTATCTGTGTAAATGACTCCAAATCTCGGGCGGGTTTTGTCAGGAGGGGATGCGCAGGAACGAGGCTATTAAAGCTAACGGGGCGAATCACAGCTCCCACCGACAGACCGTTAGCGTCAGGTGGAACCAACATCAACACTATGAAAGACTAACTGGCTGGCAGACTGGCTGGCAGACTGGCTGGCAGACTGGCTGGCAGACTGGCTGGCAGACTGGCTGGCAGACTGCATGACTAAATAGCATAGAAACAAATGAGGCTGAGTTCCAATACTTTAAAGTGCAATTTTGAGTATCAAGACACCCAATGCATGCTTTAGTTCCTGACTTCCTAACACACAGTGGTTATCTGTCGTTACAAAACCACTTGGCATGCTAAGTGGTAGCAATTCAAACAAACGTCAACAACAACATATCAACAACACATCTCTTCTCATTCCCTCCATTCATCCATCCATCCATCCATCCCTCTCCCAAACACTGACCATGAAGGCTGGGTAGACAGTTTGTTGCTGTTGCTGAAGGAGTCAAAGAAAGATGGCGGTAAGAGGAGGTAGCTGTGGCTAGGGAAGATCTCAATTGGATACTCCTCACGTCCTCTCTTCTTCTCAAAACCCATTGAGGAGGTCAGAGGGGAGGGACCTCTGGCTTTCTCATCCAATGGGTTTTAAGAAGGAGACGAGAGGACGTGAGGAGTATGCAATTGAGATCTTCCCTAGATCTAAGCTCAATGCTAATGCTAGGAGGCTAACCACAGGTGCATTGCAATGCAGTACAGTTTGAGTGATAAGGCTATGATAATACAGTGTCCAAAGTGAAATGAACTGTGAGAACACATCGTTGGTCAGCAGTATGAGAGTCCTTCAAGGGGAGCTGAGGTACCTGCAATGGCTGAGGTTCTTATGTCATAATCGCACAGTGGCTTGTATTAATTATTTTTCAGGTGTTAAAAAAAACCCCAAGGAGACTCATTAAATAGAGGGATAGGCCTACACATACTAACGTATCCGCCGGAAAATGGCGGACAATTGTCTGGTCTTAAATCCGTCCAATTTCTGTATTATTTACAGACTGTAGTGTCCATTTAGCCCGTATGCTACGCTCCACCTAGATGAAAACCAAAGCCATATCTACGAGACATCTCTAATATGGAAATCATGAGGTACTACATGTGTGTACAGGGGTTTCAGCCAATGTGACTGCAGACAAATGCCCTCTGTGTGAAAAGGGACACACTCAAACCAAATGGAAAATGTGAATTTGACACTCAAATCTGCAGCAAATAAAAACATGCAAAGTGAGCGAGTGGGTCCTCCAAAAAGCAAATGGTTGTCCCAGAATAACAACAAAACAGGCGCTGTAATAAATGTTTTACATGAAATGTGTGTTCTAGATCAAATAGGCAAAACACCAACAGTAACCCATCTGTTAACCATTGATGTTGCCCTTAGGTACAGATCCAGGATCAGCTTTCCTTGCCATAATCCCAACTTTAACCAATAGTGTGGAAACCGCTAAACTGGTCTTAGATCAGTGTCCGGGGGGCAATTTCATCCTGTCCTGTTAACCATTATCTAAAAGAACAAGCTGGTGCTAAAAAGCTAGTAACTTCACACACTAACTAAAGTAATGTACACCTGGGTTGTCTACTTGTGTGAACTTCAGTATGATTAACACAGAATAGTTCCGTGCTTACTTTGGAATGGGGTTGACGTTCTGGAACATAATGTGCAAACTGTTTGTACACCGACTGTGCTGGTTGGCTGAGTAGAGCTAGATTACTGCACCTGTGTTATGGGAAGCAGTCTGTAAACCATTTGTAGACTACTGTATGAAACCATAAAACGGTGTGTATACAGACTGGCTGGTATGCAGCGTTGTATTGGGGGGCTGTAAATCCTGTTGGAATATGTTGTTTATTGGTGCACCCTCTCTCTCGGGTCACTCTGTGCCTTGGGGAGAGGGCAGATTAGCAGGTAGTATATCTCCTGAGATAACACTGGCATGGCCCTGTCCTGGGGACGGGAGACTGACTGCTGGAAAATATCTAACCTGGACAAGGGTCAGGGTGAGCTCTGTGTGTGTGTGTGTGTGTGTGTGTGTGTGTGTGTGTGTTGCTCCCTTTCTGGAGGACTGGGTGTGTGAGTGTGTGTTGAACAGATAATTTGTATCTCTCTCAGTGCCCAGTTAAGTGTATGAGCTACACCACATGACCAAAAGTATGTGGACACCAGCTCGTCAAACATTTCATTCCAAAATCATGGGTATTAATATGGAGTTGGTCCCCCCTTTGCTGCTATAACAGCCTCCACTCTTCTGGGAAGGCTTTCCACTAGATGTTGGAACATTACTGCGGGGACTTGCATCCATTCAGCCACAAGAGCATTAGTGAGGTCGGGCACTGATGTTGGGCGATTAGGCCTTGCTCGCAGTCGGCGTTCCAATTCATCCCAAATAAGTTTGATGGGGTTGAGGTCAGGGCTCTGTGCAGGCCAGTCAAGTTCAAGCTCCAGAGTCCAATTGCGGAGAGCTTTACCCACTCCAGCTGACGCTTGGCATTGCACATTATGATCTTAGGCTTGAGTGCGGCTGCTCTGCCATGGAAACCCATTTCATGAAGCTCCCGACTAACAGTTCTTGTGCTGACGTTGCTTCCAGAGGCAGTTTGGAACTCGGTAGTGAGGGTTGCAACCGAGGACAGACCATTGTTACGTGCTTCAGCACTCGGCGTTCCCATTCATGTGAGCTTGTGTGGCCTCCTACCACTTCGCGGCTGAGCCGTTGTTGCTCCTAGACGTTTCCACTTCACAATAACAGCACTTACAGTTGACCGGGGCATCTCTAGCAGGGCAGAAATGTGACGAACTGACTTGTTGGAAAGGTGGCATCCTATGACAGTGCCACGTTGAAAGTCACTGAGCTCTTCAGTAAGGCCATTCTACTGCCAATGTTTGTCCATGGAGATTGCATGGCTGTGTGCTCGATTTTATACACCTGTCAGCAATGGGTGTGGCAGAAATAGCCGAATCCACTAATTTGAAGGGGTGTCCACATACACTATATATACAAAAGTATCTCTCTCTCGCTCTCTCCTCTCCCTCAGGGCTGAGTTAAGTGCATGGATATTCTTTCTCAGACAAATTACTTTGCATGTCTGTCCCTCAGTGTAAAGATGACATAGTTGAGTCCCTTAGGTTTAAAGAAGACCGGGTTAAGTGTACACTTCTGTCCCTCTCCCTGTCAATGTATCGCGTCTCCCTCTCTGACAGAAGTGTGTGTGTGGGTGTTTGTGTGTCTGACACTGGACATCGTTTAGTCAGACACACACATCAACTAGCCAAACCCTGCCGGCCTCCGATTACTGTGAGATATTTAATGACCTCCCTTCTTCCATCTCTCTATCCCTTGCTCTCTCCCCCACACAGTGGAAGCATGGAGATTGATCTCCTGTCATCTCTTCCTCCAACAAATAAAAGCCTGTTTTCATAGTGTGTGTGCGTGTGTGTGTGTGTGTGTGTGTGCCAAGCTGCCGAGCTCAACAGCCCTGCCCCTGCTTAATGGCAAAGGCGTGTGGACAGTAGAATTAAACCGCCCAGTGGCTGGGAGGAGAGGAGGAAGTAATTACCTTGGAAACGGGGGTCACAGTCTTGGCTCATTTGCCTTAATTGAATTTCAATATCTGCCTCCGGCCGGCTTGACCCCACCCCTGGGGCTGGCTAACTGCTAGATAAGCGCTAAGGGCTTCAGGATAGCTACTAAAAGCTAGGAGGTCAGCTAGCTAACCGCTAAGGGCTTCAGGATGGCTACTGAAAGCTAGGGGATCAGCTAGCTAACCGCTAAGGGCTTCAGGATGGCTACTGAAAGCTAGGGGGTCAGCTAGCTAACCGCTAAGGGCTTCAGGATAGCTACTGAAAGCTACGGGGACAGCTAGCTAACCGCTAAGGGCTTCAGGATAGCTACTGAAAGCTACGGGATCAGCTAGCTAACCGCTAAGGGCTTCAGGATAGCTACTGAAAGCTTGGGGGTCAGCTAGCTAACCGCTAAGGGCTTCAGGATAGTTACTGAAAGCTTGGGGGTAAGCTAGCTAACCACTAAGGGCTTCAGGATAGCTACTGGCAGCTAGGGGGTCAGCTAGCTAACCGCTAAGGGCTTCAGGATAGCTACTGACAGCTAGGGGTCAGTTAGCTAACCGCTAAGGGCTTCAGGATAGCTACTGACAGCTAGGGGGTAAGCTAGCTAACCGCTAAGGGCTTCAGGATAGTTACTGAAAGCTAGGGGGTCGGCTAGCTAACCGCTAAGTGCTTCAGGATAGCTACTGAAAGCTTGGGGGTCAGCTAGCTAACCGCTAAGGGCTTCAGGATAGCTACTGAAAGCTTGGGGGTCAGCTAGCTAACCGCTAAGGGCTTCAGGATAGCTACTGGCAGCTAAGGGGTCAGCTAGCTCGAACAAGTGAAAACAGCTAGCATGTTAGCTTTATTTAATAGGGCGGAAGGAGCAATATAGGAAGACGAGGTGTTATCATTTCAGAGTGTTCAGATTCCCAAATCGATCCGCATCTCCTAGAAACCCACAACATACTGTGCATCCGGTCAACTCATCAGCAAGCCTTTGGTTAACTGGATCAGTTGTGCCACTACTGGAATAGATCAAATAAGTGGAATGAGGAGAGCTTTGACTTTCAGAGTTAAGAAAGGGATTACTAGGTAAAGCCTTATTACGATACAGCCACAACATGGTTAAGTTCTATAGCCTATAGAACTCTACGATGGTGTGTGTGTGTATGGGGGGGGGGGGGGGGGGGGGCTATAACAGTGTGAGTGTAATCTCAGCTTCAGGACACTACTGGTCTTCCCTATAGAGGAATAAGCAGCCTGAGTGGTAGAGATGAAGACTGCACTGGCTGGAGCCCCTTATCCAATTAAAAACAGCCTTACTGGCAAAGTGGAGTCAGAGCAAAGCCCCATGATCTGATCACAGTCTTACCGCTCTAATCTCAGCCAGGTCTTTACGTTACCCTCTCTGTGACCGTCTCAGTTCACAACCAACACTAGCCACTCTCTCAGCCATTGCAGGAGGGGGCCCCCTTGAAGGACTGATTGCTGACCGACCGACACACTGCTGACCAGTGGGATAGTATGTATAACCATCAGACGTATGTATAAATTGAAGATAAATTAATCAAACCCACCATGGTAACTGGTAAATCAAATAGACAGTGCATCACATACAGTACATCAACTCATAATCAAAAACCAGTGGTGACCGAGGCAACGCTGCACGTGGGAGGGGTATGGTGGTGTCATACTGTAGCAAGCTAGTGCACCCCTCCAAAGATGCCCATACAGGACACTACTGTAACATCCTCTACCAGGACACTTCTGTAACATCCTCTACCAGGACACTACTGTAACATCCTCTACCAGGACACTACTGTAACCCTACCGACTACTGTAACATCCTCTACCAGGACACTACTGTAACATCCTCTACCAGGACACTACTGTAACATCCTCTACCAGGACACTACTGTAACATCCTCTACCAGGACACTACTGTAACATCCTCTACCAGGACACTACTGTAACATCCTCTACCAGGACACTACTGTAACATCCTCTACCAGGACACTACTGTAACATCCTCTACCAGGACACTACTGTAACATCCTCTACCAGGACACTACTGTAACATCCTCTACCAGGACACTACTGTAACATCCTCTACCAGGACACTACTGTAACATCCTCTACCAGGACACTACTACTGTAACATCCTCTACCAGGACACTACTGTAACATCTCTACCAGGCCACTACTGTAACATCCTCTACCAGGGACACTACTGTAACATCCTCTACCAGGACACTACTGTAACATCCTCTACCAGGACACTACTGTAACATCCTCTACCAGGACACTACTGTAACATCCTCTACCAGGACACTACTGTAACATCCTCTTGGTAGAGGAGGTTACAGTAGTATCCTGTATGTTATCCTGGTAGAGGACGTTACAGTAGTATCCTGTATGTTATCCTGGTAGAGGACGTTACAGTAGTATCCTGTATGTTATCCTGGTAGAGGACGTTACAGTAGTATCCTGTATGTTATCCTGGTAGAGGACGTTACAGTAGTATCCTGTATGTTATCCTGGTAGAGGAGGTTACAGTAGTGTCCTGTATGTTATCCTGGTAGAGGACGTTACAGCAGTATCCTGTATGTTATCCTGGTAGAGGACGTTACAGCAGTATCCTGTATGGGTAACATCCTCTACATCAGTGTTTCCCAAACTCGGTCCTGGGTTTCACCCTAGCCCTACCCAGCTGATTCAAATCATCAAAGCTTGATGATCAGTTGGTTATTTGAATCAGCTGTGTAGTGCTAGGGCAAAACCCAAAATGTGCCCCCCGGGTGGGGGGGGGGGGGGCCTGGACTGATCTACATGCTACTACTTTAACATCCTCTAGCCATCTACCACCTCCACACTAGACTATATATATATATACTATACTATGTACTTTGAACTAGGGCTATATATCTATGTGAGATAGATGGGCCTAAATTAGACACTATATAGCTAGTGGACTACCGGTCCCGTCCGTGCGTGCAGGCTTGCCCCGGTCTCTGGCTGAATGAAGTAAAGTAAGGGGGGTACACACGGTGAGAGGCAGATTGGGAAGTCCACGTACCCCGATGATGGCATTGAGCTCAGTCATAGTGACCTGCTTGGCACGCTCAACAGCCTGAGCAACCTGCTGCTGGTGCTGTTGAGGAGAAACACAGAGACAAGGTTTAACCAACTTTAGCTAGGCTACTGTACACCAAGTCTCGATGGTTATAGAGCCTGTTTCATAGACACAGATTTATTAAACCAGAATTAGGCTCATCTCGGGTTAAATTAATCAAAAACCTTAACATGTGAACAGGGATTAACCTTCAATTATATAAGGCCTGAAAAGGGGCTCTATACAACAGGACTACACAACCATGGGATGCCCCAGAAGGTTTTTTTGTATGTGTTAAGACAACGTTGGGATGGATGTGTGGGGCACTCACCTCCTGTGACAGGAAAGGCATGATCTGTGCGAGAATTGCATTGAGCCGTTTGGCAATCTCAGTCTGGAAGAGAGGAGAGAGGAAAAGGGGTGAGGACTACATCTGCAGCCAGCTTGGATTACTAACAGACAGAGAGAAGACGACAAGGTCAATGTTTACCCCTCCATCCCACCTTCCAAGATACCAGTTCAGTTTTGGTTGGTTGAACAGAGACACATCAATAAGCTTGATAACACAGCAAGGGGGCCTGTTTTTCCCTCTCTCACACACACACACACACACACACACACACAACTACATCCCTCAGTCCACTCCAGAGTCCATCTGGACCCCGGATGTCCCATTACTCTTAACTGAAACAAATGGGGGAGAAGCGCTCCTTAAAACAAACCAAATCTGGACTCCCTCTATCCCCCATCCATTAGACAGCTGGCCTTATTTCATTAGCAGTTTGAAATATGATAATAGCATTTGGGAGGAGGGAGACAAACCATGGTAATACTTCACAATTACTACGCAGCCATTTCACAGAAGACAGGGAGAGAGAGGAGAGGGGAGGCTGGCTGACTAGCAATATCTATCACCACCATCATCATTGGTATAGAGCAGGGGGGGGGGGGGGGGGGGGGGGTTCAGACCGAACACTTTAGAGCCCCACATTTGGAGGGCTGGATACAGTTCTGCTGCTCTTGAATATCCACGGACATAGTTGCCAAAACACAATCCATTTCCTCCTAACGGATTTCCAGAGAGCAAGAGAGAGAGAGCGAGAGACTTGACACTAAGGTAATCTAATTTGACTGTGTTGGGGAGAGAAGAACTAATGGATTGTGGGGCAGATGGCCCAGCAGGTGTGTGTGTGAGAGGGGGGGGACAGAGAGACGGGGGATTTCTCCTTTGTTTATTCCCGCATTCCTCTCATTTTGGGTGGGTCCTAACCTCGTTTAATAGTGAACAGGGGATGGAGTTAAAAAAGGGGGTTGTGGTGGTATTTTGCCCTTCTTCAGTTTGACTCGGGGAAGGAAGGAAGGAAGGGAGGAAGGGAATGAGGGTGTGTGTGGGAGAGAGACCTATTCTGAACCCCCTTAACCCCAGGCCGACTCCCCTCACATTTCTCATTCCCCTCCTCCAATCCTTCCAGCTCCATCCTCCCCCTCTCCCATTCCTGTCCCCTCTCTCCCCTGTTGCCAGGGCAACAGCGGCACAGCAGGCCCTATCTGGCGGTGGTGATCATTATGTAAATTGGGCCTGGGCTTGACCATAGCAGGCTGTAAAATCATATTACGCGCACAGAGGCAGGTCATTAAATTGAATTTTCCTGGGCTGTCGATCAGATCAGAGGGAGACATTAATAGTGGATAAGAGGGAGGAGGGGGTGACTACTAGGCTCCATCTCCGGAAACAAGAAGAGACACACAGCTAGATCTGTAGAGGCTGGGCCCAACCTAACAACCAAATATCCTCACTACACATAACCTGCACTATACACAACAAAACAGCCACCAGTTCAACCGTCCAGACACACTACTTCACTATCCCTCATATAAAGGGACTTGCATGGATTGGAATTGGAACGTGTTCTGTTTTGAGTTGCGTATACATGCTGTTCTTTCTGGATGGGCGGCTCGCATGGCACAATCCGAGCTGGAACACCAGGTGCTCAGACAGCCGTGACCTCACCAACGCCGCGTTGCCTTTAGGGTCCGTCCAGGTTACAACGTTCCTGGAACGTTCTCCCGCCCTTAACGTCGACTCTGGAGTACAAGAATCCCAGACAGATTGTTGGCTTCGGCTCATGAGAAAGTCCATGTCCCTCACACCCTTCTGGTGCTACTGGAGGCTTCGTCATCTCAATCAGCTTAAAATGAGGGGAGTATGTACTGGCATGTAGCCTCTTCTGCAGAGTTCCCAGGAGCCCCAACAGCACACACTTTTGGTGTAGCAACAGACAAAAACACCTGATTCAACTTGTCAGGGCTGTTGGGGGTGCTGGAGGACCGGAGTTGGGCTGTCGGGGGTGCTGGAGGACAGGAGTTGGGCTGTTGGGGGTGCTGGAGGACCGGAGTTGGGAAACACTGCTCTCCTGCACTAACTATCATCACTGTCCAGTTGTTCCTGTTCTGGTCAGCTGGTGAGGTACAACTCCTGGCTCTGACCAGAATGTAGAAAAAAGTAGGAAGTATAAAATGTATGAACAGAATGTATGGAAAGTGCTCTATAAATAGTTATCATTACTCAAAGACCCAAATCAGGGGTAAGAAATCCTTGAGCAGCACTAATCTTCTCCTTTCTTCAGAGGCAGGCATCCGCTCTCCTTTGAAAAGCCCTAAGATACCGACTGACTGACCAAAAACATCCAGGGAACAATGTTTTACCAGCTGTCAAAAGGCCAAAACATCTCAGATGTCAGGACCAAATCACTACCTAGTAAACATATTGAGGAGCCAAGTAGCAGAGTTTCAATAGAATACTAGTCAGATGTCATTTTACATGCATTTTATGGAAACTAGTCGAAGATCTACTTATCGTTTCACTACACACGTTCAGTAAATAAATAATGCTACCTCATAACGCCTAGGGCTGGGAATCCCAATACGTAACTGTATAGTTTTCCCCCCCCATCACTAATAACGCCTGCGACATTCATATTTCCATCCCGGCATATGTTGGGAGAGAGACGAGAGAGAGTGGTGCCAAAGGGTTGACGACGTTGACAACGTGGGAAGACTTGGACTGCCGAGCACCTAATGGGTCCAATTTCCAGAGTGTACGCACGCACAGCGTCGACTCAACGCAAATAGCTTTTAGGCCAGGAGGCGGATAAAAATAGGGTATTGTCGCTTTAAGCCAATGAAAACCAAGCCCTTGAGTGTCGTGGCGGTAAAGGCTGTTCACTCCGGCTCCACAATTACAGGTACTCAGTGGCTCAGAGCTATCTGGTGCTGCTAGTATAGAGAGGCCTCTCAGAGGATGGACTTGTCAATAGCTGTGTTGAAAACCATTAGCCTGTTTGTCGCTGGAAGCCGCTAGCCGAGTGGAGAGAGGGAGGCGAGAGGAAGAGACTGATGAGGTTTCAATTGGCAGGAAAACAACTGGTGACAGGGAGTCACAGTGTCACACACTGAATGAGAGAGCCACGGTGGCTTATGATCCACACACACACACTTCCCTATCCGTCTCAATGACGTCACGCTACTCTGCCGTCATTGCAATCCTCCGCCTCAGTAGCAGCCACACTGGGCTAGTAGGAGTATTGGTGTCCCTCCTCCCGACCCCTCATTGTTAATGTGCAGCAGATCAGGGTCTAACGGTTTATTGATGCATGCATTTACCTCTCCACTGATTGGCTGGGAGCGGGACCAGGGGCCACTCCTCCTAATAGACAGGGACACACTACTGAGGCCTGACAGGCAGACAGGGCCAGATGCTCCTGGAACCTGACTTGCGTACACACACACACACACCTCCCTCCCATAACAAGGAGCATAGAAAATTGTTGCTATTTCTCTACAAAGTTCATTAAGTGGCCTGGAGAATGGACCAGATACTGGATCAACATTCTGCCTGACACATTAAAACCCAGTAGGGTGGTTGTGTAACTCACTGTATCAACAAAGACATGATTGTCTGGTGGGCTTCAAGCAGCAGCTCCTAGCTGACCATGGTAAGGGAGCACGTTACAGACACTAGTAACCTGCACACACTCCCTCAGTGTGTGTTCTCCCAGTCGGTTTGTTTTGGCTCACATACAAGTCGACTATCATCACCTTGGCAAACAATTCCTGGAATCCTGTAGAAATTATTCATTTGAACAAGCTCTCCCTTTCTCCTCCCCCACACGTCGTCTCCCTCCCACACACACACACCTCCATCTCTCTCCCTCCCACTCAAGCCACAGACACGACTTAAATAAATAAAGCTCCCCCCCCCCCCCCCCCCCCATACACACTCCCCCTGTCTTTCTGTGAAGCCTCGTTATCGACAAGCAGGGAGGAATTGAGCAAACACAGTGGAAAAACTGAGCGCCTGAGGAAGAAATCCCAGGTTCTCAATCAGAGCAACAGAGACAGACAGCGAGAGAGACAGAGAGAGATGAGAACAGAGGAGAGAAAGGGAAAGAAAATATGAATGAGAGAAAGCGAGAGACCGGGTGAAAGAGAAAAACTAAGCAGTGAATAAGATGGAGTACCCCCTGAACTCCTCACACTGAGACACACACACAGAGTACAGCCCTCAGCAGGACTCGTTGCCGTGGCAGCCTAATGAGCTGCGCTAATTAAAATCACTTATTGACAGCGAAGCGAGGGTGATTACCTCCGCCCCACGCCACCCTCGACAACCCAAGCCGCCCCGCGCTGGCGCATCATAAGAGCTCTGTCAAAACAAAATCCCCCCCATGGCTGCCATAGAGCCTGCGCTGCCTACCCACCCGGGGCACCGCCAGAATGTGTTAGACTAGAAGTATGTTTATATTATGTACATGCAGCTTTGTATATACACATATCTGTGTGTGTTTGAAGGGAGAACACACACACTATTAAGTATCTCTACTGAAAAAGGGGGCAAAGACGGTGAGCCATGTTTCCTCCATCACCAAAGCCCCCTCCAAATCCTCCTCCCTCCCTCATCCCCCACTCTCTCCCCTCCCCTCCCCTATCCCACTCTCCCCTCCCCTCCCCTCTATCCCACTCTCCCCTCCCACGCTCCCCTCCCACACCTCCCCCCCACCTCCCCTCATCCACTCTCCCATCCCCCCTCCCTACTCCCCCCTCCCTCTCCACCCCCCCTCTATCCCACTCTCCCCTCCCCTCCCTCTATCCACTCTCCCCTCCCCTCCCTCTATCCCACTCTCTCCCCTCCCCTCCCCTCCCTCTATCCCACTCTCCCCTCCCCTCCCTCTATCCCACTCTCCCCTCCCCTCCCTCTATCCCACTCTCCCCTCCCCCTCTCCCCTCCCACTCTCCCCTCCCCTCCCTCTATCCCACTCTCCCTCCCCCCCCCTATCCCTCTTCCCTCCCTCCTCCCTATCCCCTCCCCTCCCCTCCCTCTATCCCACCTCCCCC